CGACGCAATAGTACAGTTAGTTAGAAGAACTTGGAAGAAAGATGTTAGCGTTGAATTTACAGTATTTCTTTCTCATAATGAATTATATACACAACGAATGTATGTACTTATTTATACATCCATGTATAGAGACACGATCTTCTAATTACGAAAGTATGGTGCCTGTGTGTACTTTCCGCGTAGCGGGAATACTAGCTAATACTAATCAATGTCGGAATTAAACTACAAAATAACTACTTCAATAATTTAGTAGGTATATGTACTTATACATGCTATACCTGTACTTGGAGAGAATGCTTGTTGATCGAGTGTACATATTTTGCGACGTGACTCATAAATCACAACTGGACACTCGAACGAACACACGACTGTTGATAAAACGTGCAATCGTTCGCTTTAATTGCTGAAATTGCAACAATCGATAATTGATCATCAATGTGTCAATGTTGTTGGAAAATTATTTTGTTCAAAAATTGTGCCACAACTCGTTTCACTGATAGCAATATTTCATTGGACTTTATCGAGTCGTGAACACTCGATCGTGAATTTCTATTTGCGCAAATTTCTATTACGTGCAGAATTTCTGAGGAAAAATTTTCATAAAAAATTATACCATATTATTTTAGATAATTCAATATATATTTCTGTATAGGTGTTTACTCTGTGCGTGTATTTACGTCTTTCAGTTATCCATAATTGCGTACGTACAAAAAGTACGTACAAAATCCGTAGTTTTGTTCATAGATACATTCGTCGTTCGAGAACTGTTTATTTTCTACTTGTGATTTTGTACGTTGTCCCTAGTTTCCTCATCACTAGCGCTACCCTCTCCATCGCACGTTGAAATTTCTTCGCTCCGGTATGAGCCTCACCCTCTCTCTCTCTTATTGTCAGTCTGTTTCTATTTCCTTACTAAGCAAGTGGAGGGGATCGACGCAGTGGAGGGGGTAGCGCCAGCGACGAAAAAAGTGGGGGTAAGAGTCCGCAGGCCTTCAGTTAACCCTCTAACTCTGACTCTAATTAAGTTTCTGTGGAGGGGGTAGCGCTAGCGA